ATCTGATCCCCATCCAGCTCATCTGGCCTGCAGGGCCAAAAGGTGGAGCACCACTGATGTAAGTCATTGTACTGCCTGCATCCAAATGGGGACGTAAATATGGGGAATGTAACATGATCTCTTTCTCTGATGAATGCTCCTTTGTTCATTGAAAGGTGTGATACTCTTAACTTATGTCCCAGCATTTCTTTTAATTTAAATGGTCTCTTATGTAAGATTGTGTAAAGTGACAATTTCTCTGTTTTAAAGAGCATTTTTTCTAAAGCCTTTTTCCAAACTCTCATAGTTTCTGCTTCACGGGTAATCCACACGAAATCTGAACCAACACTGAAAAAGATACCAGATTTGTCAGAACCAGTTGGACAGCCCTTACACACATCAAGTCCTTCAACAGACAAGAAGCAGCCCAAATGGACACCACCAGGTATTTGCAGAATGTTAATTTCAGACGAATATGCCTATTTACACATGTGTTTAAAGCTATTCTGAAAAATACTGGCACTTACTAATAATTGCTGCTTCATAAAAATGCAAGTTACCTTGCTCGCTTTTATGGTCTAGGGCATGAGTCAGCAATGTTTTTGGGACGAGTGCCAAAAACACTTGCAACCTCAACTTATAAGGTGTTGGTGTGCCAGAAGCAGACAGCAGGGGAGCCATGAGGGGCCCAATACTTTTTGTGGCAGTGCAACCCCAGCCCCTTCCCCACCTGTTCACCCAGAGGCATGTGTGTGAAGCAAAATGCCTTCACGTGCCATTCTCTGGCACCTGTGCCAGGGGGTGCCTACCTCTGCTGTAGAGGTTAAGTTCCAGCCCCTAGGTTCCTGCCCAGTTGCTGTTCCCATCACACCCTCCAACACCAACCAGGGTCTTTGGGCTCTCCCTCTTCTCCAGCTTTTTCTGCCTGCTCCCATAGTGCAGCCAAGCACAGCCCAGGGAGCTGAAGGTGAGCCTGGGGCTCACCTGCATGGGTCCATAGTGCTGTGGTGGTGGGGCACAGGTACATGATGCAGCATCAGCGTGGGAAGGGAGGGCACCCACGAGTGCAGGCTTAGAAGTCCCTCAGCTGGCCTGGTATGTCCTGTATGCAGGTGGCCCCTGCTTGTGTGGTCTGTGAAGCACTTGGCCCGCAGCCACTTAAAAGTTGGACAGCCCTGTTTTAGAGACTCCACCCCTCGCCCTCCGCAGAATCTTAAACCTGTCCATACCTTAGTGATTCTCAAAAGGGGTGCTGCCAGATTCTTTGATCTCGAGCCCCTGTGGCCCCCTCCAACTGGCTTTGGGAGCAGGGGAGTGAGCTGAGCTGAAAAGCACAGACTTTTCACTACCTGCCTTGTGCTCCTTGAGGAGCGCTGTGCTACAGGCAGGCAGGTGCAGGGCTGCACTTTTTCAGCCTGACACTTTCCCTTGCTCCTCCTATGCTCCCAGAGCTGGTGGGAGAGGCCGCAGGGACTGGTTGGTCCAGCATTCAAGTCCCTGGAAGAGGAGCCGTAGCAAGCAGGGGCCACACTCACCTGTAGACTGGAAGCAGGGAGGGGGCAGAGTGTGGAAAATGGTCCCAGCCTCTGCATCAATTTTTACTGCAATCCCCTTCTGCCTCCTACTGGGATAGCTGCCTCCTTCAGGAGTCTAATAACCCACCCTGTCTGCCTCACCAAGCAGCTCCTGTCACTGAGCACTGTGTATTATCCCCTGTCAGGGATGCCCTGCATGCCATTGCCCACCTTGCCTGCCACCCTGGGAGATGCTTTTTAGGGTGTTGCAAGGTGTGAGAAGTAAGAAATAACTTTTCAGAATTTAGTGGCACCCCATTTCAAAACTAATTTATCAGGCATGTCCTGAGTCTTCAAAGCTTAATAAGCACTGCCCTAGCTGCTCCACTAACTCTCTCCCCTTGAAAGAATAAGGGACCTAAAACTCTTTCCCAAAATGGGAACCAAACCTCAGTAGAGATGTCTTGAGGGCATTTCTCTCATAATAAGAACTTGCTACGTCCCTGTTGCAATCCATTATTTGCTATCAGACAATTATGCTTGTATTTTTATCTGCCTTTAGTGCATTACATTTTTGTCTCTTTGAACAAGTTAAATGCACTGCTGTTGACTCCTGCATTTTATTTCACCTTGCTTTCCCTCCTTTCTGTTTAGTCCTTTCCTTCCACATTTTCTGCCCCACTGCTTGGTTCTGTCTTGCACTTAATAGTTTCTGTTGATACCGTTAACTATGCATCATGGTGGTTCCTACAGAGAGTTGTTTTAGTTAGAGCAGGGGCAAGCAATTATTTCAGGCAGAGGGCTGCTTAACAAGGTTTGGTGAGCTGTCAAGGGCTGCATGGGTAGTCCCACCTCCTAACCCCTGACCTTTGCCACCAGAAGTCCTCCCCTTACCCCCAGGAAATACTCCTTTTGGGAGGGGGGTTGCCATCATAGAACCAGAAAAAAACAAATCATATACTAAAACCTACTGTAACATTTTAATTTTATGTCAAAAAATATTTTTGTCATGATTTGTGTTTGTGTACTGTATATCGAGGTGATTGCATAATAATTCAAAAATAAATTCTTAGTCTTTTAGATTGTGGGTGGGTGTGGTGGGGTGTATGGGGTGTGGGGGGATGTTTGGGGGTGTGGGGGGCATAGGGTATGGGTGGGGAGGGTGTGGCGTATGTGGCTGTGGATCACACTGTCCTCTCCTGCAGTCAATGCAGGTGACACTGGGTGGGAGAGGGTGTGTCTGTGTGCGTCTGTCTGGTTTGTGGGGTGGGAAGGGTGTGGGACCCACTGACACTCTCTCCCTGTGGTGCAGCAGTAGGTGGGGACACTGGTGCCTGGCTCTGGCCAGTGCTGCACGTCACAGCAAAGAGCGCAGCCCCTGCCAGGCTGTTTGTTTCCCTGGTGCTCCCTGCA